CTGCTGCTGCTGCTGCTGCTGCTGCTGCTGCTGCTGCTTTACACACAGCTCCTTCCTTCCTTCCTACTCAACGACACAGCTCCTCCTGCGAGAAACCTGCCAAGGGCTCTGCCCTTTGTGGCGAGGGGAAGTGACTGGCCACATGCAGAATGGTGACCGCTGGCCTTCTGACGGGTCGCAGTCTGGCTCGGGTCAGCTGGCAGTGGGCGTGGGCCCTGGGCTCTCCCAATCATCTCACCCCCTCCACTCTCCCCAATCTCGCCTCCCTGCAAGGTTTCCCCTCAGCCCCAAATCCACAAGCCTTGGGGAGCTGTTTGGGAGGCATGTCCTCACCACTAGCAAGGGGTGCGATGGCATTTTGGCTTCCATTGTGCACCAGGCCTGCCCAGGTATTTGCCTGCTGCTTCTTCTGTGCCAGGGACGAGCTGCTGCTGCCAGTCAATCACCTCTCCTTTCTGAGTGAGCTGGCAGCTCTCTCTGCCTGAGCCTCTCAGTCAACCACTCTAAGGTGCTTCTGGGAGAAATCCCCTGCTTCTCTGAAAATTTCTGGGTCCATTGGGGTGAGGAGGGTCTAGGCTTGGGTTCCTTGAGCAGCCGATGGGATGGCAGGACCCGCATTGGGGCGAGTGGTTCAGCTCCTTTAGGTCTTGTCCGTGGCTGGCAGTGCTAGAGGGGAGCCTCTGTTTGCATTTGGGGAAAGGAAGGAGGCCAGTGATTTTCACAAGCAAGTCCTTTTGCTGCACTCCTGGGAGTCCGAAAGCGTTTCCTGATGCAAGAGACCAAAAGGGAGGGCAAGAGGGGTAAATGTGGTGCAGGTCCCTGACTTCTCCTGCTCCTCGTGTGCTCTGACAGAGCTTCCCCTCTTTTGCCCAGATGAGAAACCGGATGAAAAGTGGATCCTCTTTGATGGACCGGTGGACACGCTGTGGATTGAGAGCATGAACTCGGTCATGGATGACAACAAAGTCCTGACACTGATCAATGGGGAGAGGATTGCCATGCCTGAGCAGGTAGCCCAAAGGTCCTGCTCTCTCCCCCCGCCCCTTTCAGGCAGCCAGGCTGGGACCCCAGCAAGAGGGACCTGATGGGCGTTGGCACTGTTCTTCAGGTTTCGCTGTTGTTTGAAGTGGAGAACCTCGCTGTTGCCTCGCCTGCCACCGTCTCCCGATGTGGGATGGTCTACACAGACTACAGTGACCTGGGTTGGAAGCCATATGTCCTGTCCTGGATTGAGAAGCGCCCCAAGGTAATGGAGGGACAGGAGCATGCTTGGAATGTGATGCCAGTCACTAGGCCATCTCTAGTGCTGTGGGATCATCCGTGGGCATTACAGACATATGCACACACACAGCCTGCTGTACTTCCATTGGGCCAGCCCTCCTGAGGCTGTACCCTGTATGTATGGGGGAGGTCAGAACCAGTAATGGTGGAGGGGTGATTAGAGAGGAAGCAAGGAGTCCTTGAGGTCTTTTGAGGGACACCTGTTGGTTGATCAGAGTCCTCAAAATGATGAGAGAAACTTAAAGAAGAAACAGCCCTGTAGAAGGAGGGGCTTGGCAGGTGGCGTTTTCAAGACCAGGAGGTAGCATCACATTTCCTGGCTCTGCTTCAGGGAGAAAGCAGAGACTGAATCTGCACTTGCTTCTTCCCAGGCTGAAACAGAAACCCTGCAGCGCATGTTTGACAAATTCACCAACAAGATCCTGACCTTCAAGAAGGAGAACTGTCAAGAGTTGGTTCCTATCTCTGAATACAGTGGCATCGTGGCCCTCTGCAAGCTCTTCATGTCTTTGGCCTCTTCCGAGGAAGGGGTAAGGGGCAGGCAAGGCACCACCAGCTGGCCTTCTCGTGCTGCCCTAGATATTGGATATATGAAACTTGTAGTTAAAGCTACAAGGAAGAAGGTTCAGACCAGACAGTAGGAGGAACTTTGTGAGTTGTCAGCCGGTGGCAGAGTCTGCCAATGGCATGACAGGTTCTCCTTCACTAGAGGTCTTAAATGGAGGCTGTCCAAGATGCTCTACTCAATGACCTCTAAGATCTCTTCCAACTCAGTGATTCTCTGAATCCAAGGGTGTCCTACTATGGCCTGTAGCCCTGTGGTGAGAGTAACCAAGAACACTTTTTTCTGGATAGACCAGGCTAGGAATCGCCTTTGTCCTGCCCAAAGTGTGGAGAGTGGAGCCCTCCTGCTCCACTGCCCAGGGACCCTGAGAATGAACAAGAGACATTTTGGGATTAAATGTTTTTAATCAACATCTCTCTGGGGATGCCCAGTTACAGTGTCCCGAAAGTAGGTCTTGGCCCTGAGTGGGTCTGTTGACCCATAGCCAATAGCCGGAATCCCAGTGAGGAAGACCATGCATTTGCCAGCTAATGTCCTGGAGTGAATTTCCTGCCTGGACGGCCAGCCCCCCACAACTCCAAAAGTCCCCTAAGGCCATCAGTGCACCCTGTCTCTATCCCTCCTGATGGGCTTGGAGGCTTAGTTAAGAACTACTCTTTCCCTCCAGCTGAATCCTGCTGATATTGAGAACTACAGCACGCTGGTGGAAATGTATTTCATCTTCAGCATGATCTGGTCCCTGTGTGCAGCCGTGGATGAGGAAGGCCGGAAGAAAATTGACAACTTTCTTCGGGAAATGGAGGGATCCTTTCCTAACAAGGTCACTCGGATCTGCTTTCCTTTCAGGGGTCTTCTGGGTTTGGTAGGTGAGAAGATCCAACTCACCTGCCGACCTTCTTCCTTGCTCCCCTCAGGACACAGTCTATGAGTATTATGTTGACCCCAAGCGGAAGCAGTGGGCTGCCTTTGAAGACAACCTTCCTAAGATGTGGAGATATCCCCCCAAGTGAGTAACCATCTGGCATGTTGGTCAAGATGCCTTTCAGGGAAGAAAGGGCTTCAAGGAGAAAAGCCCCCGTTCCTGAGACCTGGATCGGTTCTCTTGGGTGGTTTGAAGGCAAGAAGCTCTGATGGACAGGAGATGGAACTGGTTTTTCATGTTGTGCAGGGCGGGAATCGTAGTGTTATTCCTGCCCTAAGACATGGCGGAAGTCGCTGAATGGCTTTACGGGTGTTCAGGCTAGGGAGGAGGAGGAGGTAATGGGGTTCTGGTCAAGAAGTCTTCCAAAGGTAGCTCACTCACCCACAGTGGAAGAAAACAGGTTGTTGGACAAGAGAGATCCCTGGGTTGATCCAACAGGCCTCTGGTCTGTGCTCATGTGAAAGAAAGTTGGGTAGGGTTGCCCTGGAGAGTGGTCCTTGTGTGTTTGGTAAGGGTTCCTTCTCTTGTAACCGGGGTCCTAGCGATGGAGGACCCTCTTCTCTTGCAACCAGGGTCCCTGGCGGTGGAGTCTCCACTGCTGAGCTGCCCCCTCATCCCCTGCTTGACTTCTTTGGCCCTTATAATTTCCTGGCTCCACCCAACCCAACTTCACTCCCACCATATCACACAGCTGAGCTTGTGGTTCAAGCCAGCGGTTCGGATCCATTTCCCTCCCTTGCCCCTAATCCGATTAGTGGCCTGAAATTACCGGAACGTGGTCCCAGAGCTGCCACGGGCGGCAGGCTGCCTGTGCAAAGTGCTGGGCGGAGGGACAAGCCTTCATTAACAATGGCTTCCTTCCAAGCTGTCAGGCTCCAGTGGGGATGACAGCTGCACAAATTGTGTCTTGTGTTGGATGTCTTCATGCATTTAGACAAGGGTTTTCTGCAGAGCTGCGACAGCTACCTTTGAAAAGGCCACACCAGCGCTTGGGCAAGGATGGCGCATCTTCCCATGGAGGCTTTGGAGGGCCCTGGGTTGGGAGAGCCAAGGGTCAGCGATGCCTCTTCCCTCCACCCTGAGCTGGAACTTCCCCTTCTCTCCCCAGCATCCCCTTCTATAAGATTATTGTCCCAACCGTGGATACCATGCGCTACAACTACATTGTGAACGCCCTGATTTCCAACCAGTACCCGGTGCTGCTGGTAGGCATGGTGGGGACAGGCAAGACCTCCATTGCACAGGGTGTCCTGCAGGCCCTGGACGGCATCAAGTGGGCTGTCTTGGTGATCAACATGTCTGCACAGGTAACAGCACACAGGGAGAAGCCACCAGTGCCCGGGGGGACAAGGGGGAGGCCTTGCTGGACCCAAGCACACCGTCTCAGTCCTAGTTCTCTGTGTCTGCCCAAGGGATCCCCCCACCCAGCCCGAGGCTCCTGGAGGGCAGCCTTCTCTTGTCGCCCTGCAGACCACCTCCAACAATGTCCAGAGCATCATTGAGAGCCGCGTAGAGAAGCGCACCAAGGGTGTCTACGTGCCAATGGGCGGGAAGAGCATGATCACCTTCATGGATGACCTGAACATGCCTGCCAAGGATACATTTGGTTCCCAGCCCCCACTGGAGCTGCTCCGCCTCTGGCTGGACTACGGCTTTTGGTACGACCGGGCCAAGCAGACCATCAAGTACATCAAGGTGAGGCAGGTGGAGGCAGGAGGGGCTCGGGATGCTCCTTGCAGGGAATCAGGAAGTGGAGGGTGAAACCCCCGCCCCCCTCCACCTGCGGTGCTTCCTTGGATCTCACCGCCCGCCTGCCAGGGCTGATTTTTCAAAGAAACCTCTCCGTGCACATTAAATGCAGTCACGCACTGAATGTATTGTCTCGTTAGACCCTCGCTTGTTTGAAAACTCAGCAGCTGGTAAGCAGAGACATTTGTGCCCAGAATAATTGTCGTCGCTCTCTAAGAGGCCGCTGTGTGTCTGAATTTCAGGAGGAGGGAGAGCAGGGGGGGCAGGCGCGGCAGAGGCTCCTGGGGGCAGGGTGGCACGCGCCATGGCAGCGATTATGCTCTTCTCTTTGTATGCTGCCTGCCTCCTCTTCTGCCCCGTCCCTCTCAATGGTTGAGTGTGGAGGCTGCTAAACCCTTTGCAGCCAGAGGGAGGGCTGGGGGGGAGTCCTTTTTTTCTCCCCTGGTTTTGATCGAGGCAGACGGTCTGTCTTCCCCAGGACATGTTCCTGATGGCAGCCATGGGGCCCCCCGGAGGAGGGCGTACCGTGATCTCCAGCCGCCTGCAGAGCCGTTTCAATCTCATCAACATGACCTTCCCCACAGTAAGGGCTCCCTGGCACGCAGAGCGCGGCCAGTCGGGAGGGCTCCGGGCCAGGGGTTAACCGGGCGATCATAGCTAACGAGAGACGCCACCCGCCCTTTCCCGGCCCTCTCTCCTGGGGGAAGGTGGGTGGCCCCCAGTTCCCACAGAAGCAGCCCACCCAGCTCGTCTGACGGGCCTTGGGCTCCCTGCGCCTCCCAAAGGAAAAGTAAAGCCACGTTCTCTTCCATGGAGGGGAGACCTGTGAGGGTGGGGCTTGGTGCTGCAATGAAAGGGGGGGGAGAGCTTTGGGCTGGCACTGCTGGAATGGGACCCCGGGGCCCCAGGCCAGAAGCCCACCATAACACCCCCTCCTCTCTAAATCCCTGGGGCTCCATACAAGGGGGACTCCATTTGCACGTCCCTTGCTCATAGCTGAACCTTCCAGTTGAGCTGGAATGATGTCCAGCTAGAACTTTGGGGTCACGGCCCTGTTGTTATAGAAAATGCTCTGGGGCAGTGTTTCTCAGCCTTGGCAACTTGAAGAGGTGTGGACTTCAACTCCCAGAATTCTGGGAG